TGTCTTGCGTCATAGAAAATCCTCATCTGAGAAAATTGATAATAAGAAGGCGATTAATAGTCAGAAGAGCGATAAATTGCCCACAAATCTTCAAGAGCTTAACTGTGCTGAAACACTAAATAGATAGTAAGCATTGTTTCACTCATTAAATTAATTAAATAGCTCCAAGAGAAATTTGCGAAATGGATGAGGGTATGAAACAAGTCTGAGAGAACTTTTAAGACACTGAAGAAAGTTCTTCATTTTTCGATAGTGGTTTGAAAGTTGGACACCGCAAGGTGAGTGTTTCAACATTTACCAGCATAGTTGTAAATTTAGGGCAATTTGCATGGTTTCGGGCAAGGCATAATTTATAGACTTTTTATGGATGAACGCAATTATAATATGTGACATTGTAGGTATACTAATAAAAGCACATGAAATCATAATTTTCCTTTCATATCATGCTTAGAGTCCTTTGAGTAATAAACAACATACCCTCTTATCTATATTATATTATATTGTACTGTATAAATATGTATACCATGTACTTTCCAGTGATATTAACTATTAAAGAAATAAAATTATTTAGTGAATAAATTATAGTTGAAATCGATACAATCACAGGAGGAATGTGAGAACTGAAAAATGTCCAATTTTATTATGAAAAATTCAAGTTATGAAAATGGTTTCGTCTGTGCTTTATTCATTTAAATATATATATATATGTGGTGATATTTCACATTGATAGACTATTGAACTTAATTGACTCCTCAATACTCCTGACCTGAACGGTGACTATGCTAAACTACGTATAGTAGCATAAGGGACATTTTCAATAATCTTTGAGTATGTCTCTATAACAGACCCGCGAGACGACTCTATCGATCTAATCAAAGTCTGACTTTTTCGAACTTCGTCTTTGCTTTATTATGGAAGAGGGCCGCGAACAATATGCAGCAATTTAGCAGGTGAGATTTCTGATACACGATTGGTTACCGCGGACATTAATATTTAACTGCTCTCTATAGGCACAGAATAACAAGTTCATGCTATTAAATTTGCGTCAAATGATAACTAATTTATGAGATGGAAAATGCTCTATCTCCTCATCATGACTGCAAAAATACCAATTATTTATTTATGCGACATTCTACCTTTTCCCTCTGCTGTCATAGAAGAATTGCGCTCCAGCCAAATCCCCCCGAACTGATCCCATGTAATCCCGAAAATCATGTCTTAAGCCCTGTGCTGAAGGGGTGGTCTTTCATAGTTCTCATGTGGATGTAGAAAATTCATAGGGCGCTTTTTTGTCGCTCATACCCAAAAGTTTTTGCCATATGGGTCTCAATACGTGTCTCTTGTGAGAAAACTCAGCGGGGGTGTTAGAATATTATTGGGATCAAATATACGCAGTACAAAGATGTGCCGCAGGGCTGATAGAGGTTGTTACCTTTCATGGAAGTTTCAGGTGAATGAAAACTTGCGAAAATCCAGTCGTGTTTAAGCAGAATTATTGGATTTCTCTCAGACTCACTTATGGTCTTCGTTGAATGAGAAACTTTCGATGATGCATCGCACGTTATGGTAAACTTTCATGAGTTTCTTGCTAACTTATCAGCCTAATTTCCATATGGTGCAAATTGATGCCTGGGGAGAGCTCAGAAAAGAGACCCTCAGCTTTGTGTCCTGAAAGACATTCCTTGCCTCAGCAATGAAGTGATGTGTGAGCAAATTTGCGTTGACTTTTTGCATTTGGCCACCTTAACAGTTCTCAGTTCTCCCATTGTTTGATTCCCTTTGACACGGAACTTGCGTGCGAGTCAAGAAAGAGAAATCGACAATGAAGACGTGAAATGTTGGACGTGAGCAAGATTACTTTTGGAGGTGGATAAGGTGGCTTTTCGCTGGAAAATGCCACTCGAACGAGGGTGAATTTTTACTTTCACGGCACTTTCACTTCTCACGAATGGGTGAAAGTGTGTGTCTGTGTGTGTGTGTGGTTTATTTATGAAAATATTTTGTGTCTTCCAAGAGCTCCCACTAAATATTTTGTCAAGGAGAATATTATCATGAGAACATCTCCTGCTCACCCTCGTCACATTTCTCACATCCCCTTAAATACTGCATTATGGTAAAAATTGTCTTTCTCTTGGGCACGATGAGAAACTTCACCAAAAGTCAAGGATTTTCACCACGATATTAATGGGCAGCAAAAAATGCGAGTTCTAGAGACATTCAAGGTGGGGGGATTGATAAGGGACAAAATAACGGCATGGGTTGGAAAAGGAAATCAATGAGCAACACAAGTTTTTTTTCCAGAGATTATTTATGCTTGACATTTTCAGTCATTGATGGAACTTTTTCGCGGGTGTTTTCGCGATAATTTGTCACTTTGAGAGCTTTTTTTGGCTGTCGATTTCATCTTTCGTCGCCGACAACATTAAATCCACGTGACAACGCGCTTCAGCGCGAAAAATCCATCGCGTCAGTACGCGGATGCTTTTAACAGCAGGAACCATTCACCTCAAATATTGTGACTGTCAACTTTTTATGAGGAAAATCCCCGAAAATTGTTCACCATTGATAGCACTTTTGACGTATTTTAATGGGGAAACAATTACATGTTCTCAGCCCTTTGCTGTTCACTCAATAATCTCCATTAATCACTCCCTTCTTGGTTGGTGTTCTAGGTCAAGTTGTTGACACAGTCTGTCTATTCAGACATTCAAACAATTGAGACAACACAATTACATTTGAAGCCTAGAGAGAGAGAGTATGCAAAATGTGAAAAGATGACACTAACTAAAATCTCATGGATATTCTCAAAGGTTAAATTCTCATGCTTTGCAACTTTATGATATTTGTTATTTCAAGATCACCCTGAGGCGTGTGCCTCATTATATCCTTCTGCATTCAACATTGCCCACGAATGTATCCAATAACTTCATTCTGCCAGCGACATTTGCAAATAAACACGCAAATTTTCGCCTGAGAACGCGTCGTAATTGAAACTTTCTATATAAATGTATATCACGAAAATTCCACACATCAGGGAAAATGCATGGTTGCGAGATTATACCGTGAAAATACAGCAACTGCCAATTTTGTGATTATTCACATTGCCATGTGCAATTTTGTTATTGAATGACAGAGCCAACGACATAAAAACAGCAACACATCTATTGACAATCATAGTGTTAATTTGATGTGATGATAAATGTCACATACGTATGAATGTAAATATGCATGCATATCACTTCTTGTAGTGTGAACGGAATTATTGGTCATTGCTGGATGGCGAGAAGTTTTGTGTATAATCATTTGCCCACCAGCTGTGTGATCCTGAAATCTCATTAACGTCAATTACCGTGTCTGAATTTAATTACAAACGGACTCCGGGCAAGATCACAGTGATACATTCCAGGACGTAATTTCAAAATGCAGGGAATGTGTGTGGCTTGTTGGAAAATAATGGTGTTGCGGGTGAATTAATTTCCGGAGGTCATCGGAAGTATCGCGCGACAGAAAAATCTACACACACATGATCAACATAGCAGGATTTCCTCGTAATTTCCTCGAATTACGTGATTTCCCGAGTGATTTGAGCGCAAGATTATCCTAATGGGCCATTTAAATTTAGATTGTAAATTTATTTAAATGCAGAGAGAAATTGTGTGCTTCTCAGAGAAGTTTAAGATTAGAAGTGTCTTTGAAAAAATTCAAGCTATCAATTTCTTTTTGATTTGGCAAGAACAGAGTTTCATCGGTCGGTTTGCGTTTTTCGCCTGATTATACCAAAGAGTATTTCACACAGAGTGTCAACAAATTCACAGGTATTATTTGTCATTTGCCTATCAACCTAATTAGATCTCACTTCCAGTGACATTTCCCATAATTTTCTTACTCCGAGAAAATAAAACATTCACTTGAAAATCCTCTCTTGACCTGCCAAATCACTTTAGAACAATTTTCACCCATATTTCGCTTGACCAGATTCAATCCCAATCTCCGCATTTGATGTGTGTGAATTCAGCCCTGAAATCAAAACAACGTGAAAGCTCTTTAGGCTGGAATCAAGTGAAGTACTTTTGAAACTCAAAACTTAGCATATTGAATTTTGCCGACAGGTAATTCACACTTGAAAACCCTTCGACATGCGCTCACGAAAATTGACAGTGAGATGCAATTGATCGAATTTCCGAAGCAATTAACAATCATGTGGATATCATCACATCTGGCGAAGCCTGAATAATGAAATAAAAATCCATCCACCAAACAACATTGTGCGCAAAATGGATCAACAAATTGATTTTCCTTTATCATCAATCCTGTTGATTCTATCTTCGCCATTCGCTCTCGTGTGGGTATTTTTATATAGTCTGCTTATCGCACTAATTTAGTGGCTGAAGGACCAGCTGTTTGGCTTCCAATGGACGATGGTGAAATAACAGAAACAGCAGGAAGTCGCCTAAAGTGTTGGGCCATTCACACAAAGTGAGGGGATGACGAAAAGATATGCGGAAAATAGATTCAATGGGAGACGCAAAAGCCCCTCAATTGTTATTCTACCATCGACTCATTTTATCTTCTGAGCTCACACACTGAAATACTCTGTCAAAACCACTGAAGAGCTTGGCAAAATAACGATTTTTTTGGGAGATATTCAGCGAAATAAAACTTATGCATATTCTAACCATAAATGATTGCTTAAAATCAGGTTACATTCCCAAAATTGTAGACTGTGATAATATCACACTATATGTAGCCCAAATTCATATTATCGGTTTATCGATTGCATCAAAACTGGGGCCTTTTGAATATGCATTATGTATAATGAGACACTGTTGTTTCCATTGTTCATCCACCCCCAAAACTGTCCATCATCTGCGTGTTTCCCCTTCGCGCCGAGAACTTCGGCCATTCACGGTCAATTTCAATGTTGATGGCTCTCTGGGCTCTTCACTCCTCGTCTGGTCTACTTCCACTGACAATGAGGAATATCATCATATCAAGATCACCTTTCTTTCTCGGAATTTCCGCTAAAAATTCCTCATTCCATGTCATCCAGCGCTTCTCTTCACTGTGTTATTCCGGCTTATCTTCTCGTGTATCTCATACGAGAATCTCGTGGGTCCTCCACGGATCCTATCTTCGTCATCGGCATAAATATTTACTGTAGAAAAATACTAATCGATACTTTATATCCACGCGCTATTGAACTGCTAAACACCATCACTTTTTGGTTTCTCTTTTAATGCATCACTTAACATGACTCCCTCAGGACGTCGCGGAAATTCCTCATTGGCCGTTTTTGCTTTTTGGAAGGACTTTGTGCCACTAAATGTCTCCAGCACTCAAGCGTATGAGCGAGACAGAGGGTGTGAAATGAGATTCGGTGCTCTTCTCAAAAGACAAACACGACTCCGAACCGTGATTTTGTGAGGCGGTTTGATACAGTGTGATGTGTTCGTTGCGGCGTTTCGAGTACAACTGGCACTCCGAGAAAGCTCGTGGCTCAGCGCACCCGCCATCGAAAGCACACGCCATTGTGGGGCGCTCTTGCCATCGCCGAGTAGTCAATGCTGATGAGCTCGAAGAGTCTCCCGATGGAGTTCACACCGGATCATCGACATACTGCACATTCTCTCCCGTCGCCACTCTTTCGCCGCATCAGTCTTATCTAGGAAAGCTCACCATCAAAAGCTCTCTCTCTCTCCCACTCTGCCTAGTCATATTTTCAAATGAACCCCGCGCAAATGAATTGCAATCTGTGCTAGGATATTAATTATTCTTTTCTTATAATACATGCTGAAGCGCAGAGTTAATTGTGTTGAGCAGAAAAGCTTCCAGTGTTAAAATGATTAGTAACTGCAATCAGGCGGCATTAAATACATTTCCATCGTAAATCCTGGTTCGCATACAGAATTTTTATCTCATTACGTACTGCATTTTTCTAGAATATCACAACTTCTGTGTTCGTGGAGAAAATAAGAGTCGGAAAATCAAAATTACGACAGAGTGTCAAGTATTCATTTTTAAGAGTAATGAATATTTATGAACACTAAAAAATATATATATTCAAGATTGATCCCAAAACTCAGTTATCTTTTATTCAAACAGAACGATGGCTTTCAATGTCCATTTGAATTTCTAATCTCTACAAAGGAAAAAATCCTCACACAATGAGGGTTAATTTGCATTCAGTTATCCTCGAAATTTGTCTGGTCTTCGGACGAAAAATCTCAGTAGCAAAGCTCGACAATAGCGAAGAAACTCTACGCTGTCTGAAATCTAAGATGATGCACAGCACGAGTCATTGTCAAGCTCTTTTGTGAAGAGCAAGAAACCCTCAAGTGAAGTGGCGCCTCAGAGCCCCATCGACTTGGCCACAAATTCAATAAGCTAGAGGTTCAGTTTTCACCGTGTGAAACTCATCAATAGAAATTGACGCGGATTGTAACCAGAAATAGATGCCCCAATTCTTTCTTCCGACCATCTCTCGTCGTCTTGCTTAATTAGATGAATTTTCTAGGCAAGGAGAAAACTTCTCTCGAGAGGATTTATGTGTGTTGCATGGCATGTAACTTGATTTGCAAAGTTCATTGTAACGTTAATATTCAAGCGTGTATTGAGTTTCTGTACGTTCCAGATGGATGTATCAACAATGATACATTCAACAACTAGCAGTTTCCATACCGTCATCCCATGAGGGCATTTTATTGAATTTCCTCCAACATCTTTTCCTCTTCAGCATTGTGTAGATATGATGAGTAAGAGCAAAAATGTGAATATCAAAAAATGAGAATTCTTGCTTCTAAACAAATCATTGCAACCATATTTCTATTTATACACGATAAAACACCGTATGTTGAATGTTCCTTTGTGACACTCTGAAACTGAGACCCAAATCTCTAGCTATGTTCAGGAATTCAGCTCAATCAGTAAGGATATTTCCTTGTGAATTACACTTGAATACAAAGGTGCATTTTCACCCTTCTTCTTTGGCATGTAACCTGCTCTGGAAGTCCTTTTGCGTGTCAAAAGTTCCCTTGAAACACATCCCCGAAAAGTAAGGCGACAACACGAGAAAGTGCTTAAAAGTGTCACAAACTTCCAGAGTGAACGTGGGAAAAGCCCAAAGTTGAGTGAGCTTCGGTGCTAGCAGGAAAAATTTGCATGTTTCTTAATCACTGCAAAGCAATTACGGTTCATGAGAAAATATAACTGTGTGCGAAAATAATACCTCAAGCAATTAAGATGCATTTTGAGTTTAGCTGTTTAACAATGTATTTTGTTCCATGAAAACTTGAGATGAAGTTCGAGATCAAATGGCGTGTCGTGTCATGAAAATTCAGATGGCAATTGCGCAAAACGTCTATTTATAAATTTAATTAATCCCACCATTTGATTGAATTCACAAATCATACCACCGAAGCCCACACACACCAATTAAACATCTCGCACTGTTGAGCTTTTTTCTACATTGATGACTGTCGTGGTGGGTGGCGAAAATTTACAAATTAATTTGCTTGTTTAATAGCGAAATAATTTCATTTGCATAAATCATTAAGCGATAATTTCTCAGCGTTTGCGACTCGCTTTGAAACTTCCCATGACTTTTTTCCCTTCTTCATGGGAGGATTTCTTAATTTAAATTTGATTTCTCAATTAAGGCAACTCTCACGTTACAAGATTCTCTGTGTCCACAGAGCTTCCCTCCAACCAACCATCAGCAAAACATTCCACTTCTTTGCGCCTTTTATATGACTTAAATATATCTCTTCGCCGTTCTAAATTTGAATATTAGATTTCTTCGGCGCCAATTTTATCCTTCCAACTTTATGCCATTTTAAGGCAATGACTGGGAAAAAATCACACTGGGTGAGATGAAGACAACAGACAAATTCCACCAAGTAATTATAGAAGGAGAGGAAAAAATATGAATATAAAAATACACAACCAATCTTGACTCTCTGGGGTGTATCTAATTGAATTCCGTGTTCGACGTACACTTTTAATTTTTACATGCTTCTCTCTATCTCGCTATCGCGACCAATTATCATTTTTCCTCGCCGTCGAAAATGGTTACAATGAAAATGATATTTGAGGCCTGAATGGAAATTGTGACATACAAAATAACTAAAAATTGACTCGTAAAATAATTATATTCTTCCCATCACTCATTTGTCTGTGGGTGGAAGATTGTCTGTGCTTCGGCGAACAAATGCCCTTTTCCACGATTAATCCAGCTTCGTGCAGTGGAAAAATTCTGATTGGCTTGTCCGGAGTCCTTCGGATTACGCGATAGGCGCACGAATTACATGATCGATACGTAATTATCCCCGGAAGTTCGCTGTCAAAGAGGCGAAATAGTTTTCTAAGCAATGGACAGGAGATTGTGCAACGGCATGTATAAAATCAATGGGAGGGAGGGATATGCGAGTGGGCGTGGTACTCAATATCCGAATTTCCTTCCACATAAGCTCATTTCAATCGAGAAAAACACGAGAAGAGGTGATGATATTACATTAAAATTCAAATTCAAATTCCAAATCAAATACCCACCTTCTGCACTAAGATCCCCTCCACAAGTTGATTCAATTTATGAAATTCACGTTAAATTTTGCATGAGTGCCTATAAATAGCGTGCGCTCCCATACAAAGTGTCACTCAAGAAGAAAATTGTGGATTCTATTTGAAATGGCGGGATTCTTTTCTCCGATGGCATCGTGAGAGCTTTTCAAGTATCACTTCAAGTATCATCCTGTAGGTGAAATTGCCACTTTGACCACAGAATTTTGGGTCGATTGGCTCCCCTGGCCATCTTTCGTTCCACGTGTAAGCAAGAGAAGCCCATAAAAAGGCTCCCAATGCGACACAAGTCTTAGTGACGTTGTAATTGTGTTTAGTGACTAAATGAATTGACATCATGTGAGAAGGTTGCCCTATGCCATCGACTTTTGCCGCTTCGTATGCAGAGGAAAATTACATCGAAGGCTGAGTGAAGACAGAAAATTGCCACAATGGAATGTAATTAGACGAAGCTGTCGAGGGAAAAGGTATTGACGCACTTGATTAAGATGACAACAAAGTTCCTCGTCTCTTATAGTAGTATGTTGTGTGCATGATGAAATGCATCAATTTGTGTCGATTAACCCCTTGTCATATTGGTCTTTCACAGCCAGTGTCAAATTAATCATGTCTGAAGAGCGGCATCGGGGTAAATATTTGCTACCTGTGAAATGCACGCGCTAGCGGAATGTGTAACACAACAGCGCTCTTCGCAAATTTCAGTTCTTCACCCCGCACTTTAATCAGTTCAGTCAGATCATCGTAAATCCGGATGAAGAGCCCACCCAAAAGTGGGGTTGCAGCAATAAGTTTAAAACAAAGAGAGAAGATATTGGAAAATTAATGCGGTGAAATCGCGCCGAAAATACGCTCCGTATCACATGAAATTTCGTGAATTGAGATGAATCAAATAATTCCGCCAAATTGGCGCATTTTCCTTCTTTCGCAGCATATCAGACAATTTCCATCTGGAAGAATGGCTCCGAAAATAGATACCTTCCCATTGTAAATTTAATGAGTGTAAATCACATAATTCACAAGGGAAATCCTCCTCAATTCTTTGTGCTCGACTTTTCACACCTTTTTCTCCGTGAAACGTTCACATTTGATGATTTCTTGAGAAAGGATTGAAACATGCTATGTGCAGCCGTATAGTTTAAATTAATCCCTTAATCTTATTCTACACTTCAATTAAATTTTGTACTTAAAAACTCCAATGTCTTACACTAAGTGTACAAATTTTCTAAATGATCACAACCACAGAAGCAAAGCTGGATTGTATTTAAATGAGATAGAGAAAATCCAATTTTCCCTTTTGTGATTTCTCTCTGTAAAATTGCGAAGTGGGAATGGAAATTTGTTAGCTGCCATAAATGGAAAATGACAAGGATAAAGCCGATTCCAAAAGAAACATTTCACGTAAAAATGCAACACTCCGATGTTTGTTTATCTGTAGCAAAAATCCTTCATCAATCTCATTCAATTTCTCTGGCCATGATTGATTAGCACGAAAGGGCCTAAACATTGGCCGCGGAAGAGTCTCTGAAATATGGTTGTGAGTTTTGACATTGCTGAAGATATCGTGACATGTCAGGAGAGAGGCACTCTTCACAATTTAATATATGATTTCCACTCTGTCATCATCTCTGTGTGATTCAATTGAGGAGCGAGTCCAGATGGATAGCACTCTCTCTTGCGATGAAAAGCTCTCATATCGCATCGAAGGGAACTTTCCCTTCTCCTTGTAGCGCCATCACACAGAGCTTTCACGTACTCCGTCTCCCACCCTCTTGAATAGCATGTTATCTCTCAAAAACATCACCCCATCACAGTCGATGGATGTCAATACATGGAAGGCAGACACCGACTTACCATCACTCATTTACTTTTCACAACATTT